GATTTATGATTTTATCTCAATTTAATCCAATTAAATACAATTGTTAGCATTTTTATTGAAAAATACGCATATAAGTAACATGCATCATGATTTTAAGAACAAAATTATAAATTTGCTCAACTTGTTGAGTTAACGTCAATCAATTCAGTGATAATTTTTCGTCAAAAATACTAACAGTATTATTAATTGGATTAAATTGACACAAATTCTAAAATTAAACGTTCAAATTGAGTCAATTGAAAGTGTAGTGACCAAAATGACACAAGAGACAAAATTGAAGAACTACCAATGTAATTTGCTCTATTATTTAATATTACTCAAATAAATACATGTTGTAACGCCTCCAAAATATAACAATAAAACCATCTCATAATATTTACCAATTAACAACACATTTCAGAATATGATATCTTTACATTCCCATGATTCCATTTTACAAAAAGGTAACACATGCAATAACACATTCATAAGTCCTAACCATGAATCTATAGCATGTGTTATAACCAAAAGATATGAAATAAAAATTAAGCAGATATATAAATGCCCTAGTGGCTACAACTTTCAAGACGGTGCTTGGTACAACAAAAGTGAGTTTAAACTCAATACAAATAAAGCCCTAGGCTTGTACAAAATAAATACAACAATAACAAAAAGAAAAGCTTTTGACTCCAAGTCCTCCCAAGCTACTGCCTTGGCAGAGGCATATTATCAGTACCTGAAAATGATTTTCTATATAGGGTGAGTCAAAACCCAATAGAGATACTCTATCACAGTGTATGAATCTTAACAAGGTTATAAGGTGAATGCATATGCAATACTCGTATCAAAACATTTTATATCTCTTTTCAAAACCATGCAACGCCAAGTTTATATCATAGTTTATGAACTCATGTACTTTACAATAGAAAACAGGACAGTGGATACAACACTGGGAATTTCTAGGATGTGTCTGCAAGTAAACTACAAGTACTATCAATTGCCATTTTTACCGATACTAACTGGAAGGCTCAGCACCTATCCGCGCGGATTTTCGCACTTCACCAAGGACACACAGGACAACTTAATACCACAACTACACTCCCTATCCATATTCACCAAGGTATTCATCCATTTTTCTCAAAACAATAAACATTTTCAATGTGTTAAATATGTTACAATGCTCAATGCAAATGGATGAGAAATTAATTTCAATTCATCTAATTCTCATGTAATTTCTATAATAATCATAGTTATCCTCCACCGATAGCCCAACATAGATATCTCTAAACAGATAAATAATTTCCAATAACGATACACTTTCCAACATTTCAAGATAGGATTGATAATTCATATCCAACTCCACCACCATCATCATTATCGTTCCAATTTAATAAAACCAACATCAATTCCATTTTATCTTTACAAAATCAAATATTCACAATTTATGGCAAAATCCCCTTTCTTTAAAAAAACAAATCCAAGGATAAAAATCCACAATTTCATCACAACTCAACCACATTTACAAACCTATATTCATATTCAAGAATCCATTTTGAAAACCCCTCTTTTCATTTCAAACCAAAACTCTACCTTTGTTCTAAAAATCCCCAACATCAAGATTTCTTTAAAAAGACAAATAACCAAGTTAAAAACCATACTAAAGTGCGAAGAAATCCCTACCTCAAAGCTAAAAGATGAGAGAGAGAGAGTGGAGAAACCTCGACAAAGCCGAAAACTAACTTTGCTCCGATTAGAATGACGCTCTAGATGAGCTCTACCTTTTTAACAAAGGGACTAGGATATAGAAATTAATAGATTGAGAGTATTTGGAGGTTGAATGTGAGTTTTAGAGACAGAGGATCTAGATTTAGGGTTTTGAAATGTTTAAAGAGAGAAAGAGAGAGAGATGAAAAAATGAGTCAAAAAGTGACTTTTACGAACTAATATACGCACAGATCGCTCGAGCGACCAGACACAAAAAGAGAAACCACTCAAGCGAGCAAAGTACTGCTTGAGCGAAAAACACCACCCTCCCAGTACTTTTGCAGATTTGCAAAAGTACTGAGAGTTTCAAAAAACCGCTCGAGTACAGGAAGGACCGCTTGAGCGCAAGAAACACCGTTCGAGCGAAGAATGCCATGCCAGTAGTTTTGCAGACCTGCAAAAGTACTAGAAGTTCTCAAAGTTCACTCGAGTGCAAGAAAGTTCGCCCGAGGCCAAAATCTAGACAACAATAGTTTTGAAAAAAAACTAACTCTCAACCTGTTTCAAACACAACCAAGACGCTCCAATAACCAATCTCAACAAGGAATAAGATGGAAGAAGACATGAACGACTATCAAGATAAGAAATCCCCGATCCAAAACAATGAACGGGCCAGGTTTAAACCAGAATCGCTATACATATGGTGTTCTAATTTGATTTTTATTAGTTTAGATAGTGAGACTCATCAATTTTATCTTATTTTTTAGAAAACAACTAAATAACTTATCTTATATTTATGTAATTAAAATTTTAATTTGTTTCATCATCATTTTTGTTATAACAATATGTTATTCTATAATACGTACTATTTTATTTGTACCATATACAAGTTATAACATTTATGGTGTCACAAATGTCATAACTAAATTTTTTTACAATCATAACTAGAGAAAACAAATAAGTCATAATATTAAAACTACTAAACTAACTCTTTCATTAACGCCATTAATTATAGAGGAAGTCAGTGTAATTTCAGAAAAATGAAGGAAAGCCAGTGTAATTATCAAGAACCTCAAGGAGGTGATTGTAATTTATCTATAATTGATTTGTTTTAATTATAATGATATAGTTAATAAAAAATTGGTGAAAAATAAAAAATATTGTTTAAAAATAATAATAAGGCTTTGTTAGTTATCAAGGTTAAACTTTAAAATTATTTTTGTAATAAGCCCTCGAATTTCTATAAATACATACTACGAAAAAAACATTTAAAATATAAGAGTTGTTACCATGGGCACTGTTAAAAAGGGTACGAGTAATGTTATAAATGTTAAAAATTATATCAAATTTTTTACTAAATGTCTCATATAAATGTGGAATTCACATGGTGTGGGTCCCACACCCATATAAAACATTTGGTAAAAATTTAATAAATTTTTTATAATCTCTAACATTTTTTAAAGGGTATATCTTATATAGTCTACCACAACATAAGAAACATAATCATAATTTTGTATAACAAGCACAACAACATGTAACATTTTTTTATCAAAATAATTAGTAACATTTAAGCTATACTGTTCATAGCATAATAACTTTACTTTTGAAGTGCTCGCCACAAATTTGTCCATTCATAACCTTTACCGCAAAATGGCGTAATTAACACCACAAAATAGTATGACATTTTTAATAATGTGCTCTTTTTTGGAGTGCACACTATGAATTTATCCTTAAAACATAGTTTGAGCAAAAGGAATTTGAAAATACTACCAATGCACCTAAAAAATGATGCATACAATATACACTTTTTACAAGAAGAATAACTTCTACCACAAAATGTACAAACTTTAACTTATGACAAAAAATATAATTTTTTACTTATCACAAAAAATAAATAAATATATAACTTCATTATTTATAAATTTAGAGGTGTACATCATAATTTTGTCAGTCTCATGTAATTTTTCTTACAATGTAGGCCTCAAAATGGACCACATTAGCATATTTCTCAAATGTTTGGTAACAATGTTCATCTTGGTTTGGGAAGTGGGTTGGCTTTTTGGCTTTTTGGCTTTTTTGGCTATTTTAGCCTGGGCTAAAAAGCTTGGTTTGGGAAGGGCTTTTTGGCTTTTTTGACTTTTTTTGTGAGAGAAGAATGTAATGATTATGGGTTGGATGTGATGTTTTGTTTGTTATGGCTAAAATAGCCTATTTTGTTTTTTGTGGCTAAAATAGCCAAAAAAGCCTGAAAACTAACTTGCCAAACAGAGGCTAAATGATTACAACTATATCATGAAAACTATTTATCATATAATATATATATATATATATATAACAGTTTGAACAATGTTATTAAGGGTTTGTTACACTTTTTGCCCTAAATTATCGAATTGTTTATTTAGTTCCTGAACTATCGATATATTTAGTCCCCAAAGTACGTAAATCAAAATCAATTTAGTTCCTAAACTATCGATTGAATCTATTGAATTCCTAAAATATTTAATTCAAACATATTTAGTCCTTAAAAGGATTAAAAAAAATAAAATATAAGCTCATAAATATTATAAATTAGTAAAAAACTCTATCTAATTAAAATTTTATTTTAATAAATTTTTATTATGTCTTTGAAAAGTGGGCGTCAATCCATATATTGAATTTCCTTTACAAGGATGAGGGTAATTATGTATAGTATTTTCTTACTTATCTGCTACATTAGATACATATTTGCCTTTATCTAGTATTATATATTAGACTTCGTTTATAATATTTTTAAGTTTTTCGCTAAATTCTTTTTATTACTTAATTAATGTAATATTTTGTTCTATTACTATTTGTAGAGAAATGTTATTATTTAAATTATCTACTTTTTCAGTATATCTAATATTCATATAATTATTTGCAAGATTGAAAAATCAGACTCTAATATTAATTTAAACACACAACGAAATAAAATACCTTTTAAAGACAAAATAAATATTTAAAAGACTTTTCTATAATAAAATCTTAATTGGGGAGGGTCATTTACTAAATTATAATACATACACTCATACATTTTATTTTTGTTATATTTTTAGGGACTAAATAGATTTGAACTAAATATTTTAGAAACTTAATAAATTCAACCGATAGTTTAAGGATTAAATAGATTTTGATTTATATACTTTAGAGACTAAATAAATTCAATCAATAGTTCATGAGTGATTTTAGGCCCAATGGTGAGCTTGGCACATTGGACTCATTGCACACAGACTACATATCTGAAAATTTTGGAATTAAGAAGGTAGCTTTCTTTCTTATCTAGTTTCTCCACCATACAATTCTCATTCATCACACTCTGCCTCTGCATAGTCTAGCATTAACCCATTTGTAAATGGCCTTTTTCCAACTCTTATTGAGAGAAAAAGAGAAGGAAAAATAAAAAATGGCAGCCTGCTCGTACCATCAATGTGCACTGCTACCATCTTCTGTCTGTCTCCAACACCATCACCACAAATCACCCTTCTTCCATTGCACAACAACATTATCACTCACAACAGCCACAACAAAGCAGGGACTAGCAGGACGACAACGAGGAGGAGGAGGAGGATATGGGAGGAGGACGGTGGTGAGGTGTGGGATCGGAATAGGGGATTTCATTGGAGGAGATCTTGTGAAATTTGATCTGGGGAGGTGGTTGTCGGACGTGGAAGAGCACAAAGCACTAGCAATATACTCTCCACATGAGGGAGGGTACGAGGGGCGATACCTCAACAGGCTCAGGTACCAGGGCTACCACTTCCTGGACCTCTCTGCTCGTGGCCTCGGCGACCCCGAGGCCACTCTCACCAAGATTCACCCTGTCTGCCCTGTGAGTCTCACCACCACTCCCTCATTTTTACTACCAATAACAGTACAAACACAAACAAGCACGCAAAAAATCAGAATGCAATGTTGCAGCAGTAGAGGAAAAAATGAAGTATTGTTAGCATGATCAAATTTTTTTTTATACCAAATCTGTTTATAATTTGATGTATATTGCATGTTATCTATGTATTATGGGGGTCCATTGAACCAATACAATGAGGAAAAATTATTGGTTGGTGTAGGGGCGCCACATTGGTGATGCTCTTCACCAATCACAAATCACTATGTCTCCTCATGTTCGCCAATCACCCAATATAAAATCATAGGTCCTATCTCTTCTACCAATCACAACACTGTTGAGGCACCACCCAGAACCAACCAATAACTTCTCTACAATGAGGGTGTGACGTGTCAGCATGCATTGGTACAATGCATGAAAGCACCGATGCATTGGTAACGCCTAGAAGATGAATACTAAGAGCATTTGCAGGAGTTGGATAGGTAAAAAACTATTTACGACTATAATTAGCAATGAATAGTATTAAAATATCTTATTTTAGCAATGTTGTTTCAATGGTACATTGTAAATTTTATTTTATTTTTTTTTAAATTTTTCACGTGTCAAATCAAAACGCTATATGTGATTACATAGAAAAAGACACAAACGAAAATTTTAGCTATAGGTAAATTCTGTGATGTATTTGGCACAATATTTACTTGTAGGTAGTATACAATAAATCATATGTCTTACCATTGGAGTGAAAATTTAAAAGTTTCAATGCAAAATATAGTAATAGCAAGTCATATAACACAGAGACTTTAATGCAGTGATTGTCATATTAGACACACAAAAATAATAGTAATCACAGCATTACTCGAGAAAAATTGAACCACTAAAAATAACCCACACCCCCATATGAGTATTACGAATGTTTTGTCTGTGGTTGAATTATCTGTATCACTCTAACTAAATGAATGCAGCATTGTCAATATTACATAATGTGCGTTTTTGTGTTAGAAAATTTAGTGTTTGTGGCATAATTGTTTATACTAGTTCTCAAACATGTGTGCATGCATATGACGAATTTCCCACAATAATCTGAAGGGCCACATGAACTTTGCAGGCTCACTTAGGGAAGCAACCAATAGCAAGATGGTATTTTCCACCAGAAGTGGATTATAGGCTCTCATTGTTGCCTCCAAATGCCAAAGGATTAGTGGTTTGGATCCTTGAAGCCAAGGTTACTCAATACTAGCGTATACACACACCCATTAAACATGAAGATCTTACTGGCATTGCATATTGATTTCACATATATAAAAATGGTTTTTGATGCCATCATGTGTCTGTATAAATCCAATCAGGTTTTGTCGAAGGCCGAACTGCAGTTTCTAGCTTTGCTTCCCTCCCTCCGCCCTAAAGTCAGGGTCATCGCAGAATGCGGAAACTGGTAAATCTCTCATTTTTTCCAGCAACACTACGTGCACAGAAAAGTGCAAAAAAGTAAGTTAACAGAACATAAAAACTCGCACAGAATGAATGCAAGACGCATTGATTTTTTACTGCCTTTTTCTCTTTTTCTTTTTCTGTTTTTTTTTTTTTAAATCCCTGCTCGCCATTCTTATACAAGTACCATGCTTCAATTCACTTGCACTCTTTGTTGAACATGTCAATTATTCATGGTTTGTGCCCTAATTTGCCAATTCTGCTTTGGTTTAATCATTTCTTTTGCCCCATGCACAGGAGAAAGTTCATGTGGAAGCCACTCAAAGAAATTGCAGCATTACCAGCAAATGAGGGAGCATGATATCCAGATTGCTATACAATCACAACGAACACGACAAACACGTCTACAAATTCACAGTTCAGGGGCTATGCTCTCTACTCATCCTCCAAACAAAACATGGGTTTTCATGCTGTACCATGATTGAAAGAATGTTAATCCATAATTCATTCCTAAGTATTCAATAACAGCAATGGTAACAAATTATAATTGGAAACTGTTTAAATGCTTAACTAGTAATAACACAATGTTGAACTGGCATTAAAAGCAGCTCAGTAATAACAGGAAATCATCTCTCCTGATAGGTCAAGTTAGAGATCAAAGCTTGCATTCTGATGCACAACTATGTACAATAGCAAGGGGGACCAGATAAATCAACTTAAATACATGAATATATACATACACAAGCATTCAAAAAAAATCTTCAAAATGATGAGAGACATCTGTCCTGCAACGATTGTATACTCCACAAACTCCATGCACCCCAAGAGGAGAAGAAACTAGAAAGAAAGTGTTTCTTGACAAGGAACAATTTTCTAGTGGGGAAAACTATATTCTTCTCTTTCCCCGTCTTCCAATGTCTAAATCTATGAGCCTTGATGACTGAGTAGGTGCTGGGGTTGACAGACCAACAGATTCCGGAATGTCAAGATCAACTCTCATTGATGATGGACCATCCATGGCACGTTTGATGTCAAGCTCGTGCAATTGATGAACTTCAATTTTTGTTTTGTCAATCTGGTCATGTTACATAATAAGTGAGAATCAGCAAATGAGAACCTACAAATCTCGAAATCTATTAATACTACCACTTTCGCCAGATATCTAAGATATACAAGAGTACAATGTATGCCCTTACTAGTTCAATATGATGAATGGATGAACGTGCATCATCAAGTCTCTTTTGCAGTTCCTCCATCTTTTTATTTTGAAATTCAACATTCTCCATTTCGTTGCCATTCTCACCTAATTGCTGATACAAAGCTGCACCAAAAAGTAGTATAACTAAACAAACAACACCAATCAGATAAAATGCAAGGCAATCCTAACTCCAACTAGATGGAGTCAGGTGACAAGCAAGTGAAAATATTTTTAGCCACACCATTTCAACAATGCTATTCCTTCTTATTAGAAATTCTTATAAAAAAATTTCCATTATCACCTTTAATTTTCGTATTTAGTTGTGTTCAATGAATTTTTTTTAAAAAAAAATTGTACAAATTTTGTACTTCTTAAGTGTATTTAGATTTAAGTGAATCTAAAAGGTTTTTATTTATTTATTTATTTTGGATTAAAATGTTTAAAAAATTTACTAAAAACAAAAAAAATACAAATTGAAAACTCAAAAAAACTGTTTTAAAAACTCTAAACCAAACAGAGTGCACGGGTCTATAGTGAGAAGAATGGGAACATCATGGAACTAATATATAACTATCAGAAATCAAAAGATGCTTGTCCTAGATTAATTGGTCATCCCATTGAAACACCATGTTGTTTGTACTTCAAACCAAGAACCCGAAATAAAAAAAATTAAAAAGCAGATGAGATATACCTGTTAAATTTGATAGCACCCAAACCTGAGTAGGAATATCATAGAGCTTTTTTGCCAATGTAAGGGCAGATCTCAAGATCTCCCTGGCTTGGCCAGTGTCATGAAGAGCAAGTGCCAAATTGCCAAGGATGGTCAAATACTGTGAAACAAGTTGAAGATTTCCCAAATGAGTATGTGCGATCTGCAAGCCAGTGGCCAGCCGAACCCTGCAACAAAGTTGTTGCCTAGTGAGGGAGAGAAAAGGAAAGTGGGGTGTTGTAGATAGAACATACCCAACGAAGTAGGAAGAAGTTCCATAATAAGCTGTCAAACCAATGGCATAGTCCCCAGTTCGTGTCCATACAGACACCACAAGTGATATATTGAACTCCAAGATGGTGATGTAACTGCTTCACAATTGAAGAGGATTTTTATAGGTACCACTGAAAGACCATTGTTCTATTCATTGCTTCCAATTGATTCTAAGTTGCACTTAACAATCTAGGTTTAAGTTAAAGAAAAAAAATTTCTAATTATCCCCCTCCCTGGCAACTATGTTACATGGACTCGAGTACAAGTTCTTGTCTAAAGGTTGGACCCAATGAAGCACGGACACGGACACGCGACACGACATGGACACGACACGGACACGCAAAAACGTAAATTTTAAAAAAATAGGGGACACGACACGTTGGGGACACATTCAGTATATGTAATTAATTTTATTTATTATATGTCATAAAATTATTAAAAAAATCAAATAAAGGTAATAAAATATACAAAATAAAATTGTTTCAAAATTTTCTATAATAAAATTAATAAACATACATTATTAAAATTATATACTCAAATAATAGAAAAGAAAAAATAAAATCAGAATATAAAAAAAATAAAAGAAGAGAAAAAATGAAATAAAATCAGAATAAAATAAAAAATAAAAGAAAAGAAAAAATTAAATAAAATCAGAATAAAATAAAAAATAAAAGAAAAGAAAAAATTAAATAAAATCATAATAAAATAAAAAATAAAAGAAAAGAAAAAATTATATTAAATTAAAATCAGAAAAAAGAAAAAAAATAAAAGAAAAAAATAAAATTAAAATCAGAATAAAAGAAAAAAAAATAAAAGAAAAATATGATAAAATCAGACGAGTTCGATCGTCTGAGGAAAGAAGAGCAGAGGGAGAGAGAGAGAGAGCGACTGACGATCGACGAAGAATGAAGATCGCAGATCGCAGATCGAAGAAGGGCGAGAGACGATCGACGATAGACGACCGACGACAGACACCCGACGAGGAGCGACGATCGACGAGGAGAGAAGACGAACGACGAACGACGAACAACGAAGTCAGGTGCTCTCTCTCACCCTTTCTCTGTCGTTTCTCTACTCTTCGAAGTAGTTTGAAGTAGATTAGGGCAAAATCGCAGATCTGTTTTTGCTTAGTTACAAATCGACCCCAAAAATATTTAGTAAATTGTGAAATTGCCCCGCGCGTGTCCCAAACATGTCTATAACGTGTCCTGAACGTGTCCGGATGTTGAAAAATTAAAAAAAAAAATGGGACACTCTCTGGTGCATGTCAGACACGTGTCAACCGCGTGTCCGACGCGTGTCCGTGTCCGACACGTGTCTGACACTGGTACGGAGCCCTCGGAGAGGTGTCCGTGCTTCATAGGTTGGACCTATCAAACCTCAAATTTAAGGATACGTGGACTCGCCAAGAAAGGGTTATATTTATATATTTTCAATCTATTATGTTGTACAAAATGGTGTTATATATGTAACATATAATGTCAAGAAGGCATTATACTGATTTTATAGCAATTATACAACACTAAAAAAATATGATGATAGTGTTAAATACAAATATATAAATGTCCAATGGAAAATATCAGACACATATCCCATACAGTTATCCAAGTGTTAGGTGTGTCCGACACGGGCAAGGTTCTGAAAAGCGGTTGCGGTCGCCGTAACGGTGGCGGTGGCGCGGTTGCGGTTGCGGGGTGTAAAGGCCGTAGCGTAACGGTTGCGGTAACCGAAACCTCCGACGCGTGTCCGTGTCCGACACGTGTCTGACACTGGTACGGAGCCCTCGGAGAGGTGTCCGTGCTTCATAGGTTGGACCTATCAAACCTCAAATTTAAGGATACGTGGACTCGCCAAGAAAGGGTTATATTTATATATTTTCAATCTATTATGTTGTACAAAATGGTGTTATATATGTAACATATAATGTCAAGAAGGCATTATACTGATTTTATAGCAATTATACAACACTAAAAAAATATGATGATAGTGTTAAATACAAATATATAAATGTCCAATGGAAAATATCAGACACATATCCCATACAGTTATCCAAGTGTTAGGTGTGTCCGACACGGGTATTTGATTTATTTTGAAAAGTCCATATAACATAGGTTGGCAAGATGATGAGAAAACACCCTCAACCCCAGAAAATTTCTGACAGGACCCTTCGAACCTTGTTTTTGATAGTTCATTAACTCCTTGCTTGAGGTGCACTCCTCTATATAAGAACTCTCATTTTGCCACAAAGACATCTCCAAAAATTGGCCCGTGAAGATCCTCCAAAGAAGAAAATAAATTCATAAATTAAGGTACATGTCCAAGTTGTTGGGACATTTTCTTTACTAACAAATACCCTTATGGTCCTCCTACCTACCTCAACCTAGACCATTCTACCTAGAGCCTCATGTGATTGCGAAAAATCCACTTAACTTCATCACCCAGCCCAATACTAGTGAACCAAAATGAGACCTTGTGTGCACCATCCTCGTGACGTGGCCGTCTCATGTCCATACACCTACCCTTAATCGACTTTCACATACTGCTTGAATGTGAAAAGCCCTGGGCACCACGTGGTCTGCTTCAGAACATTTGCCAATTATCACACATGCTACAATACACTGCCCCAGGTCATCCTTTTGCCTCCATCCACGCACATACATCACGTGACCTGCAACGGAAGCCTTTGATCTGGGGTTCTTTCTACTGACTCATTGGCACTCTCATAGGAGGAACTGAGAAGATGAACGACACACAAACCAACATCACCAACCACCCCCCTTTGCATGTCAACCTCTATCCCACAAAAGCTTGTCTTCAACTTCTCCAACCCCAATGACTTCGCCAATGTATAATTTGCCTCTAAATGTCTCCAATAGCTGATCCGATCGATCCACTCACTAGATTTTATCCTCCTTAACTTGAACATCCAACTTTCCAAACTGAATAAACAGCCCCCCAAGAATTACATCACTTTGTCATCACAAGAAAGAGCCACCTTCCCATCACTAACTCCCAGAATCACATGGCGATTGTTAGTGTTAAAACCTATCACCTACTTCACCCACTTAAACCTACTCCACTAAACCTAACCCACTACACTACCACCTCACCTACTCCACTAAACCTAACCCACTACACCACTACCACCTCCACTTCACCTACTCCTTACCTACTACACACTCACCCTCTTCTATATATAGGAATCATGAATCATTGTAATAAATCAATAAACATCAATCAATAATACATAAATTTTTACAGTTAGCTTCACAGATGAAGGAGAAGAATGAAACCGAGAGAGAGAGAGAGAGAGAATACGGCTGCTGTCTTATTACTCAATAACATAGGATTTACATCTTAAGCATATGTATTTAATATTTATACTAACAAGCACATACTAAAGTACCAAACTGCCCTTAGACGACAATAACACTCATAATACTTAACAGCAATCAACTCCCAATACACACAAGGGCCTCAACCAAAATTCAGTCAAAATCCAACATTTACGCTTGCCCACCCATCACCATATACAAGCTCGGGTATGCAAAGCTTTTCCTCTAAGAACCCTCCATCCTCTGTAATGGAAAGATCTACACTCTAGCAAATTTCTTCCACACCAACACCCCCCCCCCCCCCCCCAAAAAAACCCTAAAATCCACTACCCATAATCCCTTAAGATACCTTCTGCAACTTAGTTCTCAACCAACCAACTCCAAACCGCAACAAAGAGAATATGTGAACACCTCTCCCTCGTTCCACCACCACCACCATTGGACTTCCATCCACACCATCTTCAACAAAATCAAACATTTTTGGCCCTAGCTCAACAAGCCTTAATGTCCTCTCATTTTCACCACATAAGTTCTGACAAAGACTTTAACAAAGCCGATACAAATCCAAAAAAGAAAAAAAAATCCTACAAAAGATGATTGACAAACAAACAACACAGTAAGGTTGTGTTTGATATGGATTTGTGGAGGTGAAAATAATAATAAAAAATTAGCTTATATTTCATTCACATTTCCCTCCCTTTTTCTTTTCCCATCACAAATTCCTACCCAAATTCACAATATCCTACCCAAATTCACAATCCACACATAAGGAAAAGAAGAGAAATGGAAAGAAATAAATGATTAACATGCTGAGGAGCAAAGATTGAAGCATTAAAGGGCACCAATTGAAACCCCTAATCCGATCGCATAAGAAGCAAGAGAGCTCTGGTATGACCATATTGAACAAGAAGTTTTGATATGAACAGGCAGAACTTGTTCTGCACATCTCTTAGATGAGAACCAAATAATCTAGACAACCCAAATCTCTACACCACAACCAGAAATATCCATATCAGATTCCCACCCAGCTATTGCAACAATCCCACTGCCTACATTTCCAAATCCAGAGCCAAAATGTCATACAGCTTTCCTCAAACTCATATGGCACCTAACCACACATAGGACATCACCTTGGACCACAATCTAGTGTTCTTAGGCTATTCACACCAAGGCACCTTTTTGCCATGTTTATCTGCAAGGACCGGAATCCATGCATGGTTGTAGAAACCACCAAGGCACACTAAGCCACCTCCATATATAAAAGCTCTATTGAAGTCGTGGTCTATGACCATGCCTTCTCCTAGGGTGAGAGTATATAACTTTATGGTCTCATATGCAACACTATGTGGAGAAAGTAAACAGATTCAAACATGACAGAAACACAACGAATTGATATTATCTATTTTCTAACAGAAGGGTCCAAAGTAAATAATAATAACACTATTCAGAAACAATGTTATAGCTGAAATGTTCTACCGGGCATCTTGCAGATTCTCCTGCCTCATCAATAGAAAGCCATAAGCAAAGAGGACACTGGTTTTCTCACGCACCCCAACAAAAGAATCCATCACTCTGTAAACCGGTCCAATCAAATCAAAAGCCTGCATTGAGGAAGTACAGCTTAGATATTATTACAACTAGATATTAATAGCAGACATAAAAATCTGATAATGACAGGAAATAATTTCACCTGTGCAGAAGATTCTGGACCACCAATGCAAATGTAAGAGACAGCTGCATAAACTTGGCACATTGCTTGCATTGATTTGCTTTGCGTCAGCTAAATGTAAAAATACAGTGCAGTCAGATTAAACTTTATACAAAGATCCAAAGTGACCTAAGTAATCCCCAAACAAACAATAGAACAAAATATTCAAAGGTTAGCTCATTTATTTTTCTCAGTCTTTTTGAATCCTAACTCCACCCACCTTTCAGTCATCAACACAGGAGGCACGTGCTTTCATCAAATTGAGCCACCTACTATATTATATCTTACAGATACACTTAAAATCATTTAGATATTAGAAGCATTAAGTCAAACAGCCTCAAGAAGACACCTGATGTCTGATTCTTTCACGAGATGGGAAGAACTCTAACAAATCTTAAATGATTCCAGTTCACTAGATTTAAATAAAATAAAATAAAAGTACAAATATAAACTTAAGAAAAGAAAGAAAAGAAACTGTAATAGGTGTGGCCACTTGTTTTAGCAATTCAGACTCAACATTAAAGTGTTCAGTACATCAGCCTTTGGCACATTTAGTAATTTGCTACTGCATGACTTTAGACTGTTGTGGACAATCGGCAATGTTCACCACATTATGGCCCATGGGATGGTAACAATTTCTATAAATCAGAAAAGTGATCCCAATTTGGTATACGAGTCTGTTGAACTTCTCAGGGGGGGTGGGGGAATGGAAGAAATAAAAGGAATTCAAAACGCAGTAACTGAAAGGTGAAGCAGCTACACAACTAGAATTAGCGAAAAATGGTGTTCAGAGTGTCCTACTCTGTCTGAAAGTATATAAATTATTAAAATTACAATAATATAAAATAAGAAATTAAAGAGAGAGAACAAAACAAAATTAAAATAACCAAGCTCTTAACACATCCTTCATCCTTCACTTTAACAAATGTTAATGTATCAAACTCAACTTTAGTGTTTTCAGTATCTATCCACAACATGATCCAAAACGATTCAAAGCTCTACAAGCTTTTTTTGGGAATGGGGAAGTCACTACCAAACCAGTGTTACATATGTAAGAGAGCAAGGGAAACCGTAAATCTTCTGTTTCACTGAGATGTTGCTAGGAACTATTGGTGCTTGTAGACCCTTTTCAGGATTTGTTTAGGATATACCAGAAATTGGTGGAGAGATATTGGTTTGTTGGAGTTATTGTTGCACCCAAAGTGGTTTAGAAAGAAGCTTGAAGAGCTGTTGCATTGTGTGGTGGATTTGGAGGGAGCCAAGTAGACAAACTTTTAAGGATGCTGAAATGCCAGTCATGATGCCGAAGACAGGTTTTTGAGCACGTTACAATTTTGGATTTCAATAAAATTCATGGATACTTTATATTATTTTAGAGATATGCTCATTTGGAATCATTAATGAAAGGGGTTTTTGTTCTCGAAAACATAAACAAATACAAAACAAAAAACAGAAACTAACACGGAAAACTTGCTTGACAACAAAAAACTGTTTTGGGGAATTTTTTTTGAAAACGCCCTATTTTTTAGGAAACATTTTTAAGTAGTTTCCTAAATTTTCGAAAATAATTTAAGCACAAAAATAAAAATGATTGATGCTTCCAAATTTTTCATTACAGTGCAGCCTAGGTAACTTAAGCCTTAAGGTTAAGCCTCAGAGTGATTTAATCAGTCACGGCACAAGGTAAACACCAAAGTGTAAATTTTGAAGCTTTCTTCAAAACTGACATCTTTCTATGCATGTGCAAATCCATGTCTAGAAACTTCTTACTGTCTCTGTGCAATTTTTTTTTTTCTTTCTATTGACGAGTAACACAGTGCATTTTAACCCATCTTTATATGCAAGCACTTCGAACCCAGTCACTTCCTGCTTGTAATAGCTAGTTTTTGGGGTTAAGTTATACCCAAAACCGTGTAACAGTCCAACTAGTCTTTGTTAAAAAATAAATTATTCCCAAACACGCTATGGACACTTGGGGGATACATGTGTCCATTACTTAGACACATGAAACCCATTACAAGTTTGAACAAAATAACATGAGATCCAATAATAATAATAATAATGTAGATTTATACCTATTAATCATTCCTCCTTTAAGCTTTAGAGATTAGAATTATGTTGTATTTTTTTACTGTCATTGAATGAAATATTCATATATATGATAATAAATATATAAAATTATATATTTTGCACATCTCCCATGGATAGTAACCTACATTTTTTGAAAATTGTTTTGTGGATGTACCTATGCCCGTGTTCCTTAGTATAGACTATTGTTGGGATTTTCTGTCAATATGAAATGAAAAAATATTTATTAATATTAAATTAAGTTTTGTTCTAGTAGCCATTTGGTTGAAGAAAGGAAAAGGCTCAACGTTTCTTTTGGATATTGGTGTACATGCTCAATGTGGTTGGGATATATGCATAATTGCTATATCTATATTTATTGCTATGTGAGAGCTTGCTAGCGTGGTAGCACATTTTTGGAGTAGTTTTATTGAGAAAAGTGAATGCATTATATGGAGCTCGGCAGCCAAGGCTATGGAAAGTTGAAAGCGTGTTTTATTGTGCATCTCTTGAACTATTGTATTGTGTATAAATATGGGTTTATGAGATGAGTTGAGTTGAGAGAGAAATGGAGGAGTCTGCTATGGGTGTGAGAGGAAAAGGCATGGAGTTGTACAGGGTGAGAAAAAAAAAACTATAGGGTACCGGATACCTTGACATGGGGTTCAGGTAATAGTGTGGGTTTTGAATATTTTCTGGCCATGTCACATGTACTCTTTATTTCCTATATATAGTGGATTTATCTCTCTCCCATGGATGTAGGCATTTGGGCCGAACCACGTTAACTATTGTGTGTTTCTTTTGTGTGTGCATATTTTATTGGGTATTGCTTCCATTGACACATGGGTTCATATTATTATTAGCGGGAAAATAATTTTTCCCTAACAACTATATCTATTAATTTTAGATTCTTTTTCCATTTTAGTGATATACTCTTTTATTTTTTATTTTTTGGTTTGGAGGAAAGATGGTCAGAACTCTTCTTTTATTTTCAGTTGTTAGTGTAATATTTGGTACCAACCGCAACTCTCAGTAACAAGATGTGCCAGAGACTGTTGACACTTCTAGGCAAACCACAACTTAAATTAAAATCATACAACTGCACATTAGCCCATATAAATTCTTTTTGAGAGTATATATTACAGCATACCTTCGCTGCTTCAATAAAATGAAAAGCGGCTTCACTGTAAGAGCCAACTGAATGAGCATATTGTCCTCTAAGCATCTCAATAATGCTCTCACAAGCCTGTAAAATTGTTGGAAAGCGAATGAACCAATTTCTCATCTGCACCAAAGCCTGCAAACATACAGATCATGTTTACTGTTTCCATTAATGAGAGATATCTAGATCTTCAAGTGTATCTCTACATGTGGAGAACCAAAAATTAGTGAAAAGTTCAGACATATCAACAGATGAAAGATCACTAACCAGCTCCCAAAACAAACAATAGGCATAATGTCACCATTTATATGGACATATTTCAAATCCCATAGGAATGAACTGCCATATCTTCTTTTTTAATATATAAAAATATTATAAAATGGGCATTAAAAAGGGACATTCCTATTTACAAAGGGAAAAGCTATATCAAAACAACCTACACATATTCATTTACTTAAAATACTCTATAAAAATCCAAAAATGGATTAAATGATAGATTAACCACCCCCGTCTCACAACTATACAAAATGGACACAAACCTACTCTTTAGCTTAAAAAGAGGCTCCTCAACTCCTTCAAATTTAGTTGCTCTTAGCCAAAAGCCCTACTTCCTACTCGATGTTCTAAGAACCAGACAGGACCGGCTGTTTGGACTGGTCAACCCGTCAACCGGTCTAAGTTCCAGTCCGGACCAACCAACAAACCTGTTTTGGATAGAAACCAGATTGAACCAGTATGAACCAGGGTTTAACCAGCAAACTGTTCGACCTAGTTACTGGTTTTAGCAAACCAGTCAAAGATTTTGTAAAAATTAGCTGCATTGGAGGTTGAACACACAACCTTAATGTTAGCTGACAGCATCCTTGACACTACATCACAATGCTAAATATAGGTAAACATATTGTAGACACTTAAATTTTTACGGGTCTTGATCATCGTCTGATTAATCAAGATAAATAAATTTAAGTTGGTCAAATTTTTCAAATGTATGTGGGTCCTACTAAAATTATGGATCTTAACCCATTTTAAATTATGGATCACACCAAAAGAAAAGTGAACCTATTTTGACAATTGGGTCAACCCAAATGTGTGGGGCCCATGAAAATGTTTTACCAAAATTTAGTGAAATAATTCAAATTTAAATTTGAATGCAAATGATGTCCATAAGAGAAGAAGTGAATTGCTTGTTTCTTGGAAATTAGAGTCAATTTTGGAGTTTCCAAAATTAACCCTCCCCTCCTAAGCCTATAAACAGAGGCTCTCATTAGGGGGAAGAGAGACATTTTTTGGCTAATGGCCTTGCAAGCTCCTAAGTAATCTTGAGACTATGCCAAATTCTCTTCTTAAAATTCTTTCTAAAGTTTCTCAAACTTAAAAGAAATAATTATTAAGCACTCCAAACTTGTGCCAATCCTTTCAAGTTACAAATACAAATTTGGTCTCTCTTTTTCAATGAGGTCATTTCAAGACTCGTTCGAGACCAAGCCGTTCAACCCTCGATCAAGCCTTTCTTCTCCAAGTTTCTCCATTTGATGACCTGAAGAAATTCACCAACTTGTCTAGTTCAACAAGAAGCTTTTACAACCGTTGAATTACGCCCATTTCAGAGATCGAATCAGAGGATTTGTTCTTTTGCAATAGAGCAAACCACAGAGGATTGTACCTATTTATTATAATCAATAAAATTACTTATTTGTGCAGTTATTTCGTGTCTTAATTGCAGCTACGAAATTTGTGTTTACACATATAGTACTTATTACTTTTATTGCAATTAAATGAATGCATCTATGTAAATATATACGAATTTCAAATATAAAAAAACATTTCCACATCAATATTTTAAATTAATATTTAATTTTTAATTTATTTACGAAGTAAACATGACGTCACGGTTCGATTTCGGTTGACCCAATAGTTGAGCCAATTACCCTTGACCCGGTCACTTTTCCGGTTCGCTCAACGGCCCTGGTTTCAAAACATTGTTCCTACTTAGAAATACATATTATAAATGGGAAAATGGAAATTTACTCGATATTCATTCCATCTTGTCAGATAGGCCATCCGATCCCTTTCCATTTCCTAAGATCAATTGATTTATCTGTTTGTTCAAGTGATCTCCACGAGCCAAGCGAGATTCCAGGTTTCCTTCCATAAGGCTTGGGCTTCAAATTGTATCAACTCAACCAGTAGAAAGGAGAGTCACCTTACGGGGAGTAGAGATACTCACCTCAATTCAACCACATGATACACAAAAAAGAAAATATCCATTTTTTTTTTCTTCTCTTACCAACTATTGACCTCCTTGAACAATCATGGACGTCAACCACTGTGAATAGACACAACCAATGAGATTGGCATTCCATTCCAAATAAGTTTAGAATTATAGCCCAAAATTCTCTAGCAACCCCACTACGGGTGTTCACAGGTCAAGTCAGTTTGGATTCATGACTAACTCGTCATCCGAACTGACTACTTCAGGTGAACACTTTTGTCAACCGCAGTTGACCGTAGCAAGTTTCAAAATTGACTGCACCATGCCTTCGGTTAGGCAGTCGGGTGTTAGTCAGTGGTGAAATTCTCAAAAATCAAAGAAACATACATGCTCAAAATGAAAGGATCATAAATCCTAATTTCAAATCCAAATTTTCGACATTTGTTTATATCAAAATCCATAAAAATTGTTTAAGAACTTATAAAAACTAAAATTATTAAAGGAAATAACAAATGGCCAAAAAAAAAAAGAACAAAAAACAAATAAATATAGATCACGATCTCCTGATTAAAAGTGATTTTGGAGCCTGACCTTTGTAGATCTCGGTGATGACAAACTTGGAGTTATTGACAACGTTGATGGTGGAGACATCACGACCTCAGGTTTCCATTGTTCTTTGAGGTGTTTTACAACGGCCTTGTAATCGCAATTTAGGAGGGGAGGTGTTTTGCCAAGAGTGATGCCGTGATGAGAGACGAAAACCAAAAGGGGTGGGTAGGCTAACGGACGAACATCGGAGAGAGGGATTTGAGAAGTACAAAGTAGAGGAAGAGTTTTAAAGGGAAAAACGTGTATAGAGAGAGAGAGAGAGAGAGAGGTTAACGTCTCTAATAAGTGAAAGTCTTGGAAAAGGGGGGAAAAGAAAAAAAAAAAAGATGTACAGAAGAGAGAGAGAGAGAAGTATATTGAAGTCCATAATAAATGAAAGTCTTGGAAAAGGAAAACAAAAAACGTATAGAGAGAGAGAGAGAGAGATACAGACTTTTAAGTGACACAAAAGCTTTTGACAAGTGAAAAGACTAAGAGAGAGAAAAGATAAGACTCTCTTCTATAGAGATAAAATGTAATTTGGCATACCAATAATATACTGCCATGTGTGGAGTCAAATAGCTCGGTTGGTTCAGGTGCTTCGGTTCCAATATAATAAAACCCGTTGCCGACCGCAAAATCGTTGATTTAAACAACTAAGACCTGCAACCAATCGTGGCCTTATTCAAAACCATTCGTTTTTGGTATTGGCGGGTTAGTTTGGTTGGTTTGAACAACCATTCATTTTTGGTATTGGCAGGTTGGTTCGGTCGGTTTGAGCAGGTGGTTTGGGTATTTGAACATCCTCAACCCCACAATGAACGAGAAGGTGATTACCCAATTCTTTATCTTGTTTACACATGCAACACTGATTAACATAAAAAATGTGCTCAACAATCAAATTGTCAAGATTACATACCTTCCATGCTCCACCATCCAAACAAAAAAAATCTATTTTAGAAGGAGCTTTTGGGACCCAAACCCATTCCAATGACCTACTATTAGCACCTTCTGCCTGAAGGCTGCATGGTTGGCATTAGCAGCACCTTGCACCAATGTCCAACCAAGACCACGGCATGATGGTGGCATGCCAAAACAGCAATGTGAAACATTGACAAAGTGTTGAGGCAGCAGCACAGAACCCTTGGCCAAAGTATGGGCAGCAGTGGCACAAATGCAAGGCATTAACATGACCCGAATGTGGGCTGCAGCATACTTGGGGGTTCAAAGCATTCAGTCGGCAAAACTTGGTCTGGGGGCCAAGACAACCAAATTCGTGGCTGACTGAGAAGGCAAACAACATGGACAGTTCAAGGCAGTTATGCTTGTCTGGCAGCAGTTACCCATGTTGAGCAAAAGACAAGGCAAGTTTGGACATCTGGAATCAAGGCAGGGAGTTAGCAACAGTTACTAGCAGTTATGTCCCAGAAATGATCCTAAGTCCCTAGGCAGTTGGGGGTGTCAACTGCCATGCCACTTGGCATGCTTTCCTTGTAATGCTGGTTGTAAGCTTGTAACTGATTGTAAGCCTATTTAGGCATAAGCCATGGAACTCGAAAATTAACTAAGTGTTGGTAAGAGTTTCCATAGGCATCCTTTGTATTGTTGGTGCAATTAATAAAGGTTTTGGTTTTCCTGTAATCTCTTGTTGCCTATTCTCTTACTTGTTATAGTACTTTGTGTGTGTGTATATTCATACTTGGTTGAGACTAAGTGTCCAACTTAGTGTCATTGCAGGCTGGAATTTTGAAACAAAAATTGACCCTGTAACACCTACCAAGGTTCCATTAAATGATTTTACAGAAAAAGCCCCCAACATGTACAAACTCTTCCTCACTAATGGAACCAATCCCATAAAGCTTATCGAGAAAGCCCGTCAACTTATCAATCTCCCAATTATGAAAATCTATTTTGAAAGAAGTGTCACAAAAAACTTAATTGCCATATTTCAAAGAGAATCCACAGTCAAAGTCACCTTATCCACCATAATCCAAAACAGATTCAGGAAAGTTGTTTCTAACTTTGTACAAACTCTTCCTCACTAATGGAGCCAATCCCATAAAGCTTATTGAGAAAGCCCATCAATTCGTCAAATCTCTCAATCATGAAAATCTCTTTTGAAGGAGATGTCATAAAAAAGTTAATTGTCATTTTTCAAAGAGAATCAAGTCACCTAATCCACCATAATCTAAAAGAGTTTCAGGAAAGTTGTTTCTAACTTCTCATCCCTTCACCATACATGATACCAAAACTTCACCCTTCTACTATTGCCCACTACAAAAACAATTTAAAAAAAGATGATAGTCCAACCTTTCTAAATTCCTTTCCAAAGACAACCGTATGATGATAAAACCTCCAAGGACAGCCAATCCCCACAAACTATCGGATTCACCAACAACCAAAACTCTCCAAAACCTCTCCCTCTCACAAGCATAACAACATAGCCACTTTCCCAACAAGGCTTGATACAAATCTCCAACATTCTAATACGAACAAAACTCTCTCAACAACCAAATTGTGTCCCAATCAATCAAGTGATACTCAAATTCTTCTCATATACCACCAAGGATCAAAAATATTTATAGTGTCTTGCTTTGAATAGCTTGGAAACTTTTAGAAAACATGAGCGAAACAATCAAAGAATTGAAAACTGTATCCCCCAAAAAAATGTTTGGAAACATAAGCCAAAGCCTATATAAATGCTTCTAGGGCTTTTCCCTCTTTTGTTGATTACATCAAACGTTTTCACCTAACATAAATATATACATATATATTTATATTATTAATTGATGAATAAGGACACAAATGTCTTATTCCAAAAAGCATGAATACTTCTAAGAAGGTGGAGTGTCTGACACCTCTGGACTAATGCAGTAGAATAAATATCTTAAATGTCAGTCCTATGCTTCAGAGCCATATGTTTTCTACTAAACATTCCATTAATTTAGGCTATTAGTGGCCTTGGTCTATAAATAGGTGATGATGTAATCTCATTTATAGTTAGTTTTAAATTGAAGAATATAGAACTTGGTGAGCTAATTGCTCTAGCTCTCTCTATTTTGAATTTGATTGTAAATTTTGGTTGCATTCTCGACACTTATCAAACAACTATTCAAACATGTCCTCTAAATTTTTTAATTTTTTTAGACTCGAACACAAATGTTCATCGTTTAGACACACATGAAACACATTACAAGTTTGAACAAAATAAATCAAGATCTAATGACAAATGAAAAACAATGTAGATTTATACCTATTAATTCATCATTCTTTAAACTTAAGAAATTCGTGTTATGTTGTATATTTTGATCAGCTTTAAATGAAATATTCATATATATGACACAAAATAAATATATAAAATCATATATTTTGTGCAATGTCCCCCACGTCTCATCTCCTACATATTTTGAAAATCGTCAACTCAACATGTCTGTGTTTGTGTTTCTTAAGTCATATTTAGACACAGAATCCTTTTAAAAACTCTGGACAAAAGCCAGTTGTATAGCAATTTGTTGTGTCCAACATAGGTATTTAACTAGTGTACGACATTGTGAACATGTAAAGCCCCAATGCACCATTGACAGTTACAACAAAGAACATTTCAAAAGATGAAGTAAAAGCAGATTGCTTAGAAAGAGTCCAAAGTGTTGGACACAAGTGTAATAATTACGCAAAAAGTGTCCACAAGTGGCTAGCATTCTTACAAAAGTGTCCCACAATTCAATGAATTTGCTTTTCGTTTTCTTTGGAACAAGCTTTCATTACAGGATCAATATAAAGATTATGATATTTGACACAATTTCAATTATATTATATTTTCCATTTTGGCAATAACTTTAATCCTGTCAAAAGTTAATCTGTTAAGTAAAGGGTTTACCCCCATGTTTTGTGGGAACCAAACATAACTACCACATCTCTATAGAATGTCCAAGGATCCCCCAAAATGTGATAAACACAACGGATCTGAACAAACACCAACTTACAACTAGAAAAGAATGTCCTAGCCTAGTAACCTCAGTATCCTACTTTTATAACAAAAATTTTCTTGCAAATTATAACAAAAATTTTCTTGCAAAATGGAATTTACGAAGCAAGGGCATGCATATCAATGATAAAAAAATTCAAACTACCATAAAGATAAATACCGCCACACCATATTAGAGTTTTATACAGCATTCATGTGTAACCAAAATTGAAAATTCTCTTTTTTGGGGGGACACAAAAAAGTTGAACTAATTCAAATTATGTAATTGTTATTTGGAACCATTTTCATCATTATAAGTCTCTGTTTACTGTATTTATCAAAAAAAACAAAAGTCTCTGTTTACTGTGTTAAAAAATAAAAATAATAATAATAATAATAAGAGAGAGGAGAAAAAAAGAGAGAAAAAAAAAAATAAGTCTCCGTTTACATCCTACCTTTTTAAGCACCAGGATACCTATGTATGTAACATGATGTAATCACAAATTATGAAACCAGACTATTCGGTTTCCTTCTAATGTGTCCAAAGGAGAGAAATTTACCTGAAACTGAATTTCAGGACCATATAACAAATCCAAAACTCACATGATATGTCTCCGTTTACTGTCACAAAATACTCACTCACATGATAACCCCATCCTACCTTTTTAAGCACCAGGATACCTATGTATGTAACATGATGTAATCACAAATTATGAAACCAGACTATTCGGTTTCCTTCTAATGTGTCCAAAGGAGAGAAATTTACCTGAAACTGAATTTCAGGACCATATAACAAATCCAAAACTCACATGATTTGAAAAGAAGGAATAGAATATTCAGATAAAAAAAATTATTGTAATTCTGGGGAAAAGAAAGACTATTTACGGTGAACTATAGTTGTCCATGCAAGTGGACTAGAACAAAAGTTTTACTTTAAATCCATTAATCAGACGGGCATATTGGTGCGACTGTTCTTTCCATTGATTGACTTAGACTTAGAAAATATGAGGAAGAAGAACTCCGAAAATATGAGGAAGAAGGAATATATTTCTGTTATATTCAAAACTTCTTATCTTACAAGACCAAATGACACTCCTTATATAGGAGATATTACAAAAAAAAATGGAAGCATATGACCAACCTCCTGAGCTTCAACAAATTCTGATCGTGTGAGCTCCACAGCTACTTTATTTTCAAGGAATTGCATCAGAAGCATCAAATATACACCAGCCATCCAAATGGCAGAGTGTTGCAAATCCACTTCTGCTTGACAGGACAATTTATAAAGCTTACGTTAGTACCCTAAGAAAAAATAAATAAATAAATAATAAAATAAACTAAACCATGATTTTGTTCAAAAAAATCTTTTTGGCCTCTCTAAAAAAAAAACTAAGCGTAAGACTAATGAAGCATCTTCATTTGAAACCCTATAATTATCAATTGAAACAAATAATAAACTTAGTTTCTGTTAATAATAATTAAGAATATGGAGGCTCACCTCTCACACCATCATTGATTCCAAGCTTCACCAGCTCATCTGCACATGACACAATTATTTCGGTTATAAATCTGGGCACATCATTAAAGCCTGAAGGTGAACTATAAATCGAAACCTTTTGAACTTCTCACTCAAGTTACTAGAAATCAATATTTTAAAGAGGTCCACTTAGACTCTTTGCTATGCTAAAATTTCATTGCAAGATGCAGAAGTTCACCAAAAACAATCTCATACGCTGTGTGCTTCTCAATCCTAATAAACACCCTACAGTTCATTGTGGTGATCTCGATAAACAGCAAGCAAGTTGAGGCCAATAGGGCTAAGTCTAGATATCGATTCACAGGGACTAATGTGAAATTTAACTATTTTAATTGCAAGATTCCTAAGTTAATTTGATGGAAAATGATTAATGATAGTAATATTGAAACAGGAATTAGAATGAAAATTAAAAATCAATTAAAAATAAATATTTGGATTGAGAAATTAATTGGGGAAAATCCTAGGGCAATGAATCCATCACTAGTTACATAAATAGGGTTTAAAGTTGAAAATTGATTGCGCTATGGTTTGGACTACCCAATGTTTCATAACTACAAGCTTAAAACATTGATTAAGAGGATTGTTGTGTTCAACGTATAGGCACGAATCATCTCAAGTAATACGAATCGTTTGCTCTAAACTAAGGTAACAACATGACTCGTCTCTCATAGCATGATTCGTCTCAGACATTGAATACGAAAGAAATGAAAACAATTGTATGAAAAACATTCACCAATCATAGAAAGAAGAATACTTCAAGAAAATGGTAAAAAAATATTAAAAAGCTTTTAAAACACCATACAACTTGTTCAAACCATTACGACAATAAAAAACCTAAGAAAAACCTATTTACTTGGTTAGAGTTTCATCAAAACCCTAGAAAATGGAGAACTAGCCGCTCATGGAGGATTGAGAAGGTGGAGAAGATGAAGCCGCCATAGAAGCACAACCTGGAAGTCCCAATTCTCTCCCTAAAACCCTAGCCTCTCTTCTCTTTTTCTCCAAAAAAATTCAAACCCTAGAAAAACCTTTCTTTTTCCCTTCTATACTT